TACTTTGTATTCGCTGATAGAAAAGTTCATCTCCACCCTAATCATACAGTACCACTGCCAATTATGAGGCTCATGATTGGTTGAAGTGTTCCCATGTGCAGGACCACAGTTGTTACCTCTGTCTTATAGTTGATGAAACTGTAAAGAAAGGGAAAAGTCAAGTCTACCCTTACACATGCTCAGTTATGGACGTGAAAATTCACACACAGGGTGCAGCAGTAAAATAAGGGCAGATTTGGGACACACAGAGGCCAAGGCCCTGAGAACCTTGGAGGAGACCCTGCAGTGAGAGGCTCTCACCAATGGCAAGGATAAGGAGGAAGCAGTCCCTCTTCTCTCCTTGGCTGTTAAGCCACATCTGAGTCAAAGCAGACCTCCGACTGGGCTAAATGTAGTTCAAAGTTGCAAATTCTTTACCTAGTTTCTAGTTTTCTGCTCCTACAGGAAATCTGTGTTATGTCCCTGGAGGGTGTATTTTGCTTTGGGATTTAGGAAAGGGGATGTTCCTGCATTCACTTACACTTAACAGCAGGGCAGATGAATGGGATGGGGATAACACTGGCCAAGCATCAGTCACACGATGGTCAAATTAGTGAATTTGCCTTCATTTTACCGCAGAAGAATCAATGAAGGTAATGACTGGACTAATAAGGGGGCTGCACTAGCAATTCAAATCAGTATTCACACCAAAAGTCTAGGCATCACCCTGGTCCACAGTGAGTTTCAGGCCAGCCAGGGATGCACATTGAGACCTGTTGCTAGAGTTTTCCTGTGTCCCAGCATGACAGTGATCAAGACAAATCTCTAATCTCTCTCACCCGCCAGTCCCACAGCCCCTCAGACACAAGTAAACACACAGAGGCTTATATTATTTACGAACTGTATGGCCATTTGCTCAAGCTTATTACTGACTAGCTCTTACATTTAAATTAACCCATGATTCTTATTTATGTTTAGCCACGTGGTTTGGTACCTTTTCCCAGATCTGCCTTCACATCTTTCTTCTTATGGCAGCAGCTGGCAGCATCTCCTAACTCAGCCCTCCTGTTCCCAGAATTCTCCTCTCTTTGTCCCACCTATACTTCCTGCCTGGCTACTGGCCAATCAGCACTTTATTTATTAGCCAATCAGAACAACACATTCACAGCATACAGATATCTACAGCACTTTCCCTTTTCTTTTTTTTTTTCAAAAAGGAAGGTTTTAACATAGTAAAATTATATGTAACAAAACAGTTATCAAGCAAGAACTATAGTTATAATATTTAGTGTATTTGTATTTGGCAAAAATTAAAGGAAATATTTTATCTATCTTATATTTGTTAGTTTAAGGTTTAATATCTAACTTATCTTTTATCATAACTAAGGAATTATAACTATCTAGTCTTCAACTACATCAAAGACCTCAGAAGGATATAATATTACCTGAGAAATGGGAGAAGGACGCAAGCAACTTTTGGGAGTCTTATGAGAGTAGATAGAGACAGCTGACTTAAAAAAAAAGGTCTAGTGTTGTGCAATGTTTCTTTAACTATGTAAAGATGTGTTGTATTTGCTTAATTATGTAAAGATGTGTTGCTGTTTTACCTTGCCTACCTAAGGCACCTGATGGGTCTAACAAAAAGCTAAATGGGAAGAGCTATAGGTGGAACTTCTAGGCAGGGAGAATAAATAGGAGAAGGAATTTAGGCTCAAGAGAGAAGAAAGAAAAAAGGTACATGCCAGGGAGATATCAGCGGCCAGACAGACAGACACGGAGGAAGCAGGGAGCAGGACATACAAAATAGAAGAAAGGTAAAAAGTTCTGAGGCAAACTGTAGATGAATAGAAACAGATTAAAGTAAGTTAAAATAACTAGTGGGACAAGCCTAAGCTAAGGCCCAGCATTCATAACTAATAATAATAACTCTTTGTGTCTTTATTTAGGAGCTGGTTGGTGTCCCAAAGAAAATGCCAACTGTATTCTAGGCTTTATTGTCTACTGTGGATTTGAATATTACTAGCTTTTATAGTGAAATAGAAAAGAATAAATAAGTCTTGAGTGTGATACTATGAAAGGATAGGAGTCCAAAGTCATGGAACAACTAGGGGAAGGGTGAGCATGTGGTTTTCTGAATCGATAGAAAATGAGACCAAGAGAGACTGAAGGCAGGGGTCTCACCTATGTTCTTTGTTCATGGTGACTGTGCAGGAGTGACGCTCCTCTCTACAGGTGAGGTGTCATGTGCATTCAGTTGATTTGTTTGGCTTAAAGACTTCTCCATATTTAGGAAGCAGAAGTCTAACTTGATGTATAATGAGATTGCATTGTACCTTTGAACACAGTTCCAGCCACCCAACTTCAAGCAAAACACACCTGCTTTGTAATGGGAGGTCCTCTCCAGTACTCTGCTTTCTGCCTCTAGCTTCTTTTCTCTGTCTACAACACACTCCGCCTATGCTGGGGGCCAGAGCATTCTGATCTTTTTGCTTCAGGCTTATGTCTGTTATACATTACAACCAAAGGCAGGAAGATTTATAAAATTAGTCTTAGAATGTTTTTATTCTGTGTGTTTGAGTGTCCTGTATGCATGTCTGTGTGCCTTTTGTGTATCTGGTAAGCAGGGAGGCCAGAAGAGGGTACTGGATCCTGCAGCACTGGAGATCCAGATCTTTGTGGCTACATGGGGGTGCTGGGTCCTCTGGAAGGTCAGCCATTGATCAAACTGCCTAGCTGTCTCTCAAGCCCCTACAAAACTAACTTGGCTGGACTTTTTAAAATGTGCTTTAGTTTTTGTGTATTATGCATGTGCATACGGACCTGTTGTGTGGACTTTGTAAGGATAGGAACATGTTGATTAAGTTCAGTCAACATCTGATATATGTTGTTCTGCCTTAGCAGTGTGGAAAATGGGACAGAGCAAAGACCCAAACAATGAAATTCAATGGCTCCAGTGACACTTGTGGCTTGAATAGAAACACAAGGACTCATTGGAAGAAGCATTCTCAAGGCCTGGACTCAGCTATAGATGGTTACACAATTCTCCAAACTGTTAAATAATGCCCCAAAGTATAAACCTTGCTTAGAAAACATCCAGAAATTTTCTTGCAAGAATGCATAGTGTGGAGCCCTAATTTTTATGATTGTCCAATTTCTTTTTTATGCATTTAATTCATTCTTTGAAATTTTTATATGTGTGTATAATGCATTCTGTCTGCTCTCATTCCTTGCATCCTCATCCTCTTCCAATCCCCTCCTCCCAAATCTCCATCTCTCCTCCCACAAGTCCATTTCCACCCTGATGCTTTTTTGTTTAGTTTTGTGACCCACTGACTTTAACTGGGACCAGCAGTGTGGCTATGGGTTTGGAGTTGTCCATTGGGACCTGGTGTGCTCACCATTATGGGTCTCATACATAACTGAAGACAAATACCGTCCCTCATCCAGGATCCAACTGTTGCTAATAGCTCAGTCCGTGAGTCCCTTCCCAAAGGCGAGCTTAGTTGTTGACAGGCCCAACTGTGTGCCAACCCAGTGCAAGCAACTGCAAGTGCCGTGAGATCATGTTTCAAGTGCAGTTTTTAAAGAAATGTGTTTCTACATAACCAGGGGGGATTTCTGAAAAGAAAGATGTGTGACCATGTTTTAAGTATCTGTACTTGTAAATGTGTGATTCGAAGTTTAGTGTTTTTTAAGAAGACATTTAGAAGTATACTTTGCTTGTTTGTCTTGTGACTGGATATTCTGTACACTGTACTGGAGACTCTACACTGTTCTTTCTGGCCAGAGAAATGGAACGACAAAGTCCAGCAGAAGGCAAGGGAGGGTGAAGCTGACGCTAACCAGTGAGGTGTGTGAAGTATTAGGGACTAAAGTTTAGACATCACCCGCTTTCTGTTGTTAGTGGCTGAGGGCCACGTTACAGAGGAAATGAATTTCCCTTCCATCATATCTTATCCAGTGCTCTTCATTAGAAACCACTTCCTCCTACTTATATGAGGATCCAGAGCCTGGCCTATGACTCCGGGAAAGGTGAGCATATAGCTTCCTGGACCAATAGAAAATGAGACCAAGGGAGATTAACTGACAGGGGTCTCATCCATGTTCCTCACGCATACTCAGTACTCAGAGAGGCTGTCTTCTCCAGAACCTCCCTAAGAACAGGCACTTGTGTTCCGTTTACTGAGAAGTGTTCAAGGCTCAGATGGAATCTACTCACCTATATACACACTGAGTGTCGGGTACCTGTTGGGCCCTGGTTTCAGGTCAGCTTCTCCTCTGAAAACTCCATAGTCTTCTGAAAACCTGCTGCAGATGTTCCCAGTCTGAGTGTGTGAGCCAAGTACAGTTGGAAGAGAAGTGGATGCGGAATATCTCATTTATCTTTATTCATGTGCCTCTTTTTGTTATTGTTGTTTTAAATTTAATCTTCTTGAGACAATGTGCAGTTTGAATGTAATTGTCCCACGTAAGCTCATGGGCAGTGGCACTATCAGGAGTTGTGGCTTTGTTGGAGTAGGTATGGCTTTGTTGGAGGAAGTGTATCACTGTGGAGGTGGGCTTTGAGGTCTCATCTATTCTCAAGCCGTGCCCAGTGTCTCAGCTCACTTCCTGTTGCCTGTGGATGAAGATGTAGGATCTTGTTCCTTCTCCAGCACCATGTTCTGCCATGATGATAATGGACTAAACATCTGAACTGTAAGGCAGCTCCAATTAAGAGTTTTCCTTTATAAGAGTTGCTGTGGTCGTGTTTTTTTCTTCACAGTAGTAAGAACCCTAAATCAGACAGACAGGATATCAATATGTAGCCTGGTTGGCTCAAAAATTGCTATATAAGCCAAGCTGTCCTTGAACTTATAGGCATTCACTTACCTCTACCTCTCAATGCTGAGATTAAAGGTGTGCACCCACCACCCCCTATACATCGGGGTATCCTTTCTGGGAAAAGTATTTCTTGGATTTTTTAAAAGTGAACAGAAAATTAGTAAAGGTCTGCTTAGGTTATTTTGACAACCAAAAACCTTTTTAAATTGAGGGCATACATCTATCTGTATAAGATTATGGGCTTGTTGAGAAATACATGGAACCTATGTCAATTCTACCTAAAAGTTCAAGGAGTTCTGTTTTTGAAGGTGCCTTGTTTCTTACCAGAGTGAAGGGATATTTATAGATAAATCCCAACTCTTAGCATGAGTTGCTGTGCAAACTTGGAAAAGTTGATGAAATTCAGATCCTTATATTCTTTCTTGAAAATAGAGATTTTTTTTCCTGAAGGACTCTTAAGATAATAGGCACAATACCTAATAGTGTCTCAGCAGATGGGAGTTCCCTGCTGCCCAAGACCTGAGCTCAATATCAGACTTGTTTTTATTGTCCTTTTTCTGTTCCCAGTGAGTTGTGGGGACTCACAGGGCAGAGTTTCCAGGGTAAGTGCAGTATGTTGCACACAGCTGTATTATGGCATCACTGATATGTTAAAACTTAGAATAGCAGAGCACAATGCATAAGAGGTAACACAGACGGGTAATTTTCTTGAGAATGACTACATAGAAACATTACATGACAGGTGATATTTGATCTATAAATCCAATTTATCAGAGACCACGTTAAGTTTCCACAGAATCAATAAAACTGGGCCCCTTCCAGTCACCAGACATAGAAACACTAAGGCATAAATTCTTGAAAAATAATTGTCTCCACAACAATTGATGTGTGCTGTTGGTCAGGAATCCTAAGTGTTGGTTGGATGGACAGCATTGGCTTTGATATGTCTAGTGGGCACTTCAGTGCTCAGGTTCACCAACTAAATATTTCCAGTGATATGGCTGCTGGCTTTTATCTTAATTTGGTCTGTTATGCAGGGAAGAATGTCAAGTGCTTCTAGTTACATATTTTGCTGATTTCAACCATAGTTTGAAAGCTTCTATGAGCTTTTCTGTATAAGAACAGAAGAGGGCATATTTTTGTTTTTCTTGGATATACACCAGACTGAGGTAGTGATGGGTCATCTATAATACTGTATTAAAGCATCAGAGGAACTGCCAACACTTCATATCAGATTTTACTTTCTTTTAAAATAAACTGGTGTGTGTGTGTGTGTGTGTGTGTGTGTGTGTGTGTGTACTCTTGTGAATGTATGTGCACGTGGGGGCCAACAGTCATTGTCAGGTGTTTTTCTCTATTGCCTCCACCGTCATGAGA